CCATCAAGATAACAACTTTCCTATAAAAGCAAACAAATACAAACAAGTCAGATAGAATAAACATAAATAAATTCACAAGTCCGTTAGCCAAATGATAAGCTATTAAAAGCATTCCCTTGATGATCATTTTGATAAAACCACTTTCCTTTCTCAACATTTTTCCACTGCTGAGTATAACTTAAGAAACATATGCTATCAATCCCTACACAAAGTTTCCCCTTAATCTATCAGTGTATCATTATCAAGGCTTTTTATGAGTACAGGGTTTTCAATTCCCTTCTAGTGCCTGAATTAAAATGCAGCATCCTGTGACCTTCTGAATCTATCTTCAAGGAGCAACCAACAAGAAAGGAATTTGGGTTAAATGAGAACATGTGGCTCGAAAAAGATGATCTGCTCTCAGAGACTTAAGAGTTTCCTACACAAGTACTTTTCCCATGGAAACCAGTGACGACAGAAGAACATGTGTACGCACGCACGCACGCACGGCCTCTCAGCTAACAGGCCAACGTTGGGCACCTGGTCCCACCAGGGCTCCTTCCAAATGCCGCCGAAAAATGTCAAAACGGAGGCTTATCAACCACTTAGCACTGCCCTACTATCAAAGCCCCCCCCCCACACACAATAAAAAGTAATTTCATCTTGTAATACATACACACACACATCTCAAATAAGAGTGAGGTAAATTCAACAGCACATTGAAATACACCAGTACCAATTTACAGAAAATACACATGACAGATGAACACGTTAGACAGGAATGCAACCAGACTGGGAAGCTAGAAAAATAAGGGTGACTTTTTTCAATCAACAAACAGTCTTGGGGGGAAAGGAAATGAGCAACTTTACAAATCTGGAGTCTACTTTTCAAGACGACCAGCTGACTGTAATATACACTTTACTATGAATTCTGACTCATAAGTTGTGAAATATATATAGCATGCATGTTTGAGGGTACATGTGTATCTATATTTAACTATTTATAGCCCACTAACTTTGAACACAGGGGCTAGGGGTGCCAAACTCCGGCGATCTAAAATTTGCATGTAACTTTTGAATTCCCCCAAACTTAACTACTGTTGACTGAAACCCTTATCTATAACACTCACAGTCAATTAACACATATTTTGTATATTTTTTATAACCTGCATCCATTAAAAAAAA